GTCGCTTGCCACTCTTCCTTCTTGTATCCACTTCGGGCACGTTTGCCAAGGACAATGGCTTGGTGCACAAGCTCCTTCAACCATGTAACGTCCAAGTCGTCCTTCCAAAGCCCCATCGATGTCTCGCTGCGTAGCCATCTGTCTCTGGTGTGGTGGAAGCAATCTTTCGAAATGACATGATGTAATGCACTTTCTCTACAAGAGAAATGGACCATTTTGGTCCATTTTTTGGCATATTTTGCGAACTTTCTGGCTGTGATTTTGGAATATTTTCCTTGGATTTTGTGGACTCCAGACATCTCAGTTTTGACCCTTTATCATTTTACCACTTTATGGAGATTTTCCTCATTTTATGCCATAATTGATGGTATCCAGAGGAGCCCTTAGCAAATCGAAATTGACAGTGGGGACGTTTCAAAATATATGCTCAAACATCGAATCTACAAATTTCGAAATATTTTTCACGCGACTCTTTTGACACCTCAGCAAATTGACATTGTGGACATTTCAAAACATTTGCTCAAATGTTCCAAATTTCGTAACATATTTCACCTCCCAATTTGGCCAAGTGAAAGGTTATGGGTGGCGAGCACCATAGAACGCATGAACACAAGCACTATGCGCATGAGCAATGGTTCGTTAAGTGAGGTTCGTGGTTGATAAAAATGCATTGGCAACACACGACTCCAATAATAGCCAGTGTCCGGATAATCCTCCGGATGTTGCCTTTTTTCGGATAGGTGGGATGGCATTTTGTTCCACCACGAACGAAACGGTCTTCGAGGGATTTCGAAACATTATGTCGTGCGGCGTCGCACGGAATCTGCAGCATGTTCGTCAACGTATCTCGGAGTTGCTGGCGGCGAGTCCATGGAAACAAGAGGTGCATAGACTTGGTCTTGTGGTCGTGCTCATGCTTGTAACAATAACGGGTTGATGGTAGTGCACGCTGGTAGCTGTGAGTAAAACCAAACCTGTGGCGGACATCGAGACCGCTTATGCGCTGGATCAGCGGCATTTCGGAGAGAACTACATCCAAGAACTCGTCGAGAAAGCACCTTTGTGTCCGTCGGATGTTCAGTGGCACTTTATTGGACATCTGCAGAGCAACAAAGTCAAGACGCTGGTCAAGGAAGTGCCTAACCTGTACATGGTTGAGACTGTCGACTCGATCAAGCTCGCAAACAAGCTGGACAAAGCATGGGGCGAAAAGCAATCCGGGAGTCCGTTGCGAGTAATGGTGCAGGTCAACACGTCTGGTGCGTCCAGACGACTCACTTGTCCAATTCTTCACTGAGGATCGCGCAGGCGAGGTGCAAAAGAGCGGCGTCCCGCCCGCTGACTGCGTGGAATTGGCCGCGCACATCCATGGTAGTTGCGAGAATTTGACCCTGTCCGGTCTCATGACCATCGGGCGCTTTGACGACGACACGTCCGACTGCTTCGAGTCGCTGGTGGCCTGTCGAACGGAGGTGGCCAAGGCACTGTCCGTGGACGAGGCGTCGGTTCAGCTGAGCATGGGCATGTCAGATGACTTTGAATCAGCGGTGAGTTGGCCTCCTCTGCGTCCTCTCTCTCATGAATGACTGTAGATCATGCACGGCAGCAACTTTGTCCGAGTCGGGTCCAACATCTTTGGGGCACGAAACTACGCCGCGTCGTAGCCTATTCTGCACCAATCTTTCAATCCATGCCCACCTTCTTTTCGATTGAATAGTCTAAATGGGCAATCGCATGCTACGAAGCGCATGGGGAATCGCGTCGCTACGCCTTCTTCTACCATTGATCTGCATGACGCATTGCGATGGTACCTTGGGTGATTCGTTTAGTATACATTGTGACGCCACGTGCTGTTTCATACCAACCTATTCCACAGGAGGAGCTGTGTATTAGTCGAGCAATTCAAATGCTAGGGAACTCTTGAGCTGCGTGACCCCGTCCGCCTGCTGTTTCCACTGACTCGCCACCTTTTCAGCTGTCGCGGACGTGACCATCGGGGGGTCGACTGGCTTGTCGTTGAGGAGATCATTCAGATCGATAAAGGACGTTTCCGGTTCGTTCGGGTACATTTCGGCCCACGTCTTGCCTGCTGCGTTGGCCGCTTCTTTCTTTTGCTGTACTTCGGCCTTGCGCTTGGCGTGTTCTCTCGCGGCCTTCTCAGCCTTTTGATCCTTCTCGCGGCGGCGTTGATCCAAGATATGCATTGACATCATGTCGCGTTGGTGGAATCGATCTTCCGGCAAGATTTCGTCTTCCTACGTGAAGGATATAGACATACGAAAGAAGGACTCATTGAAGCGTCCATGAAGTACTTTGACAGGAAGAGCATCTGCCGATGGAGACGTCGTGAACTCGCCCAAGTGAAATCTCTCTGCGGGTTTTGGAGGTACCTATGACATTTGACATTGGTCACCATCTTCACGGGACAGTGTGGATATATGACTTTACCGCGGGCGAATCCTGGGCAAGAGCTTGGGCCAACAGCCATGGTGCAGATCCGGTGTCTGCAGCCATCACGACACGGTTAACAACATGTTCTCAAGGTTCATAATACACTGAATCAAGTGGGATACAGCACATACCAGCCCGGTCTGTGGCAGGGACCCACGATTTGTCCACTGGCAGGTCAAGAGTTACGACAGATCCAATCAGAGTAGCTTTGGCAGCGTCCACTTGGACGGGATATGGCAAAAATCGCACTAGAAACACCCGTGAATGAAAGGAGAATGGTCAATTCAAGTGAATAAGGGCGGGGCTTAAGAGAAGGCATCAAACGTGGTGTCGAACAACAATTGAAAACGCGATGAAACATACCGACGTCGTGGTAGCCGGTCGTAGCAATAACCATGCACTCTGCGTTCAATTGGATATCGATGGCGTCAAGTTCCTTGAGTAGCAGGTGAGTGCCACTCCATATCCAGTCACAAGATCAGGCGAATGCAGGGCATTGCACGAAGACATTCATTTCAAATGGGGCTTCAAACGTAAAGCTTGTGAAAGACGTACGAGAGCGGAGTCATCAGAGAACTCGATCACGGCCACCAACGCGGTGGGTGAGGCAGCAAGGCGTTCGACAGTGGCAAGTGGACCACCTTCACATGCAGGAGCGACGGTGCAATCTACTCGCTCATTCGAGGAACACACGCGTTCAAACAAGCGTAACGACGGCGTCTGAAGTTCTTTCGGCAGAGTTGGAGTCTTTGGCTTCGCAGGGACATCTACTTCTTGGATGACTGGCGTTTGTGTCTTGCGAATGTAATGGCGCGGAGGCGGAAGCGTGCCACGATACGCGAGTTTTGGAAGTTTATACTGGGGGTCGCACGCAAACTTGTACTTTTCGGCCAGGTATTGCAGCGCCAATTCGCATACAAAGTGGCGAAAGGTCGGGTCGCTCTTGCAGTCGTCCAAGACCTAGAGGATGCCTTTAGGTCGAGAAACGACAATGCAGTACAACTAAATGTACCCCTGGGTTCACGGCGACATCGATTGCCAAACAAGTCTTTTGTGCATGATCAACGACTTCGTGGGGAGGCCCCAAGCTCAAAGGGACGTGAATCCCTTCTTGCTCTTCGCCTTGTTCATTGAGCTTCTTCTTCTTGGAGAAGATCTGAATGTGCTCGGATGAGCAAATGTTGACAAACAACTAAGCAAACGCGATGGAGTCTGTGAGTGAATTCGCCCACGGCATGACAAGAAACTACCTTTGTCTTGGACTGCAGTTCTGTCGTCTTCATGACAAAGCCCGGCGTTACGTCGACATACATACCCTCTTTCTGCTCCTGTATCCCATCTCGCTCCATGACTTTGTTTCCGGGAAACTTGAGCTGATCAGGCACCCGCGGATTCATGGCAGGCGGTGCCGATGCACCAAAGTCCCCATTTCCATGCATCTTCTCCTGCATGTCATGGATGAACTGAGCGTACGCTTTTGGATCGGACTTCTCCAAGTCATCCAGCCACTAGCATCACGCATAAGCATTTCATCCCCGAGGACACTTACGTACATCGGCGTATCGCTCCATTGTCGCCGGGTCCATCGACACCGTCGATGCGCAGAATTCCGAGTGCGCGAAAACGTTCGATGGAATATTCAAAAATACTTCTATAATTGAATATCCTGCATCAATTCATTTCTTCGAGAGGAGCTCAAAAATCCTCTTAAAATAGATCATCGACCTTCCACCAACTTGACAAGACGAAAGCGCCGCCGACCGACGGCTCATGAATTGATTCTGGTCGCATGCACAGTCTCGCAGGACAAATGCGCGGGACCACACGGCACGTCCTTGAACAATGCGCATGTGCTTCCCTTCTGCATCGGAAGGACACACAACGTTTTACCTGTACAGTGTGGAGTGTCTCGGATACAGTTTTGCCTTTGGTTTCATGGTGTGAAATGCTGGCAAGTTGTTCAATTTCTCGTGCTCATCGCCAAGAACGTTGTACGATCGTGGCATTTGGAGGCGCCGCTGTCCACGGCTACGCCGACACCGACCAGTGGAAGCAGACGCACAAGCGTTTGTGGAATGGCACGCCAAGCCCACTGACGCTTCTCCACCCAGACGATCTTGACCACAATGTAGCATGCTCAGCTCAGACGACGATGCAAATACTCTGTAGCTCAAGTATACAATGTCATGAAGGCTGCTTTGGCTAGAGCTGGAGTTGCCCCTCAAAATTTGTTTCTCCATGCAGAACATTACCTGTCTTGCACCAAATCAAATGGGATCATGCAGCCGCGAACACCCGCAAACGACCCTGTTCCGCGGCACACCGGATGGGGCATGCACGTGCGTGAATGGCACGTAAGGGTTTCAAGCCACTGCCCGGTTGTCGAACGAAGGTTCGTCTGGCGATTTTTGAATTGGGCGACTACGTTTCCCGCAAGATAATAAATGAATCATTTATATACACTGCATGGATGTCACACTAATTACAGCTTTTCAGTCTTGAAACTCGGAAAACTTCGCGCAATGTTCGTGGTAAAAGACCTGCGCAAGGTGGCGGAGATCGTGGCCGACCCAAAGGATGCACGAGAACAGATGCGGCTCGGACGCCGGTCAAGCGAGTTCCAAGGAAACCTGCGCATTCTGTGCACTCCAGCGAACATTCCAGCGTTCTCTCGATTGACAAAGCTCTCCCTGTACGACAACCAACTCACATCGATCGAGGTGTGTCAAGATTTCTGTGCAACCGCGGTCCATTTTCACCCGATCAACTTACATAGGGTATTGGCCTTCTTGAATCCACTCCATTGAGCATCCTCGACTTGGGACAGAACCGTCTTGAACACCTTCCCGACGAGGTAGATACATTTTGGCCAACGCACGCAACTTCCAGTCTGATGTGTGCAGATTGGATGTCTTCGTCATTTGAAGGAGCTCTGGCTAAGCAACAACTGGCTCACTTCCATCCCTGACGTACGCGACTCTGCTTATCAGCATTCAACGGCATGCGTAGGCCGTTGTGACGCTACCGTTATTGAACATACTTCACCTTTCCAACAATCGCATCAAACACATCCCTTCGACGATCGGGGCAGCGTCGTCACTGCAGGTGCTGTCTTTGGACAACAATCAGCTGGAGGATGTCGCCGACGAGATCGGGCAATGCGTCGACCTCGTCGAGCTCAATGTCCGGTAGGCTAGACGTGCACAGATCGCTCCAAATATGACATCTTTCGCAGAGGGAATCAAATTACATCACTGCCGTTGACTCTGGGCAACTGTAAAGAGCTGGTTACGTTGGCCGTGAGCTCCAACGCGCTGAAAATCCTTCCCGAGACATTGGGCAAGTGCCACCACCTCACTACAATCCAAGCCAACGGGAACCCGATTGCCTATTTTCCGACCGCGCTCATTCCATTTACAAGTTTGTTCTGTCGCTACCTTGCTGGCGTTTGCATTCATGGCTTCGTCTGCTAGACTTGCGCGTGAATCTGGCCAATACGGCTATTACAACGTTTGACGTCGAAGTCGCCAGCAAGTGGAGAGTGCTGTCCCATCTGCACATCACAGCCAAAGAATCCACACCATCCGACGACACGAGCGTGCTCATCGTCAGCGGCACGCCGTATGCGAAGCTCGCCATGGCAAAGAAGTAGCAACTCGAGGCTCTAGAATGTACCAAAATCCATGTCCGTATACCTACGCAAAGCGCGCAACGGAGCTACCGGTCGCCTTCCTCGGAAGGTCGAAACCATTGAGGATGCATGGACCAGTCCATGCTACTTCAATGGCCAAGGACTTGTTTAAACTCCGAATTGCATCGACTTGCTTCCTTTCCTCCCATCTCGACTCGTCCTTGTCTAGAGGAATCCGAGCTCCAGCGTCGTCACGATCCATCCAGCGCTTGGTAGCGATTGGATTACTTTGGTCACCGTGATCTTTGATCGACGTCTTGTTGTCTCGATCAAAGTCGGGGGCCACACGTCGTTGCCGAGCCCAGGCACTCCGTCGCTGTCGTCGCGGACTACGGACGGCACGCGGACGCTCCTTTTCTTCGAGTACGGTCCAAAGAAAGCCCGGGTGGCGCTCAATTGAGCATACACGTCAGGTTGTTCAAATCATTGCAACCAAGGCCCCAGTTGACCACCTCCACGAAGCGCGCCGTGCCATTTTCCTCAATGGACAATGGTCCTCCCGAGTCCCTTTGGCACAAATCTCCCCCTGCATGGCCCCCGCAGCCAGCACGGAGGAATCGACCAGGCCAGACAGGCCCCTCTTTGATATTGACCTACACATCTGGCTCTGACGGATTTGAGCACATTCGATTGAACCTCCCCCAAATGACGCTGCGCCCCATAGCCCCATACATGCAGCTACGTCGTCAAACGGCACCACGATGGATGGTTGTGATGTTGCGGTCCAGAGCAACGAGTACTTGGGGTGTCGAACGTCCTTGGTCGCCATGGCCACAACCCCGTCAGAAGTCCCAAGTAGTGCGACCTCAAAACATCGGAATCTGGCCCCTGTGCAATGCGCCGCCGTCAAAAACGTCGTTACTGGACGCGGTAGTCGCCGACGCTTTAGGCCCGCAAGTACTGCTGCTGGCCGACCCACGGAGTCGCCAGCGGTTTCGACGTGGTTGTGGGGGCACCATTGTCTAAGGCTAGTGAAGCCGACACAATGGCGGCAAGGGTAGATGCATGATGGAGATCGATCTGCAATTCAGACACCTCTCGACCTCGCTCGATTCCCTTGGCAGAATCACTGAATCCACAAGGACATGTGTGGAGTGCACCGATGTACTCTCGAATCAAGCCTCCGGTCTGAATACTCCATGAAATGCGCATCGTCGGCCAACATGGCAGCCGAGTGTGGCTATCGCATGGATGGCACGATGCACTGGGCGCATTTATCGATGCACTGCCAGTAGCGTATGCCTCCGTTGTGGGATAGTTATGTTGACAAACGCGTACGTTTTGGATGAAGCATTGGTGGTACTTGTGGTAAGACATCAAAAATTTCATCAATTCGACCTTGATGTCACCAAGTGATCAGTTATATTGTAAATGGAGAGGGTTTTTTCCAATATTTTAGTTTCTGCTCATGTCGTTACTTACTGCTCCCAAGCTCTAATGGCTCAATATGTGGCCAAGTACAGGCTCGGTCTATGTCGGTACTGACGACTATTCAGTCAAAGAACGGATTTTTCAAAATGCATAACTGGTCCAAAGTAGTTGTGTTGTTGTGTGCCTTCGATTGATTAAATTATGAGCAAAAACCGTGATCACATCGAAAGATTCGAATGAGGGCATTCTAACATGAAAATGGTTCTTTTCACACCGGAATGGTCTTTATCGCATTTTTTCAAATTTGTGAATTGTGAACTGATTTTTTGTAAATTGGCCTTTGTAATGAAACTGTGCAAAATTAAATAAAAAGAACAAGTAGAGTTGAAATTATTTACTAGTAAATTATTGGACTCGATGCCGAAACAACTTAGTGTTTGTGTGCACTCCAGAAACGAATAAAGGCGGCCAAAAATAGAATGTATCTCCTCTATTCATTTGCCAAGAGACCTTGTTCTTGGATAATTCAGAAGTGCCTCCATGGTTGCCGCTTTGCCAAGTTGAAAGTTAGAATGATTCAAGATGCTCTCGTTGTTGTAGGCATCGCACACCACATTAAACATTGTGGCGTCAGTTATCACCGCATCCTTCTTCATATGAGGGAGCTTATAATCAGTGCCACCGTGTATTTTGACGCAATTCTTCATCGACTTTTGAAGGGAAATGAATGCTTTTGACAACGTGTCCACAGGCAATTCATAAAACGAAGTTTCCACAGCATCGAAGAGGTCCTCAATTGTTCGAGTGCACTACTGATACTGCGACTTTGAAAGAATCTTAAGCCTAAGCACGCATGATGTAGAGCTCTCAGCGTCTGCCGCGACGCATGGGGCATTGCCGAATCGCGACTAAAATTTTATCGTCCAATATTACCAAAAATATTACAACTGTAGAAAACAATACTCTTCGAAGTCAAAAGAAATATAGAAAATTGAGGTAAATCTCGGGGATGCAGTGTGACATTGCCTCAAATGTGGCCCGCTAGGGACGATCGCTACCCGCGGAGCCAAACGCGCGACAAAAAATCCGAGTGGAAGCTACAGTGCTTGGTAAGCTGCAAGATGGCACCAAAAGGCAGTGCTCCACAGGACGCGATGGAAAGCATGCTCTCATAGATGGCGTGGCGCTATTCATGGCGAGAAGAGTTTTGCCGCCATTTGGGCCATCGGGGTTCCGTGGGTAGTAGGCAGTGCTGATGGCGGGTGCATTGGCATGGTTTAAAGAAGCGAGATAAATGATTGCTGTTCGTGTGCAAAATGAAGATGCGTTTTGAGAATAGGGTGATGGGTCGAATTTTGGACGAATTGACACGACACTTTTCCCGTATCCCATGAACGGAAGCGTTTTAGGACGCTCATAAACTACCCAATCAGAGCAAAGAACTAGAGCATTCTAGTGCACCAATCGCTCTTTAGTCGGGCGACATGTAGAAAAATTTCACCTATCGGAAGTTGTACCCAGAAACTATTTTGGACCAGAGTAGAATTTTTCAGACTCAAGGTGCTTTCAATGCGCAATCACGCACCTAATCCAAAACCCCGCGCGTGAAAAAGCCATACTTATAAAGGTTTGGCGACGTGGTTGTGACAGACCAAACTCTACTTGACCTAACAGTAAGAGAGGGGTTGCTTGGTTGTACCACCTATGGCTGCACATGCCTAGGATGATGAATACCGACCGATCAGTGAGACCATGGGCATGATCGATCCACCCCGTTAGCGATCGATGCAAAGTGCCCACGTGTTTTTGCTTTATTCCTCGAGAGAATCGGTCGTCGGTACCATTCATGTTCGAGCGGCACACGAGACTCAACGACAGATACAGACGGACTAAAGTGCTCGGCGATTTTCAAGTCATGACCAGCTGTGCTTCGTTCAACGCGGCTTCCGACCGCGAACCCTTTCGAGGCAACAGGCAAATTCAACACTGGTATTCAAGAGGGGGCTGCCCTAATG